TGGTATCAGGGATCGAACTCGGGTCCTTGTGCTTGTGAGGCACATAGCAGCACCACTGAGCTAAATCCCTGGCCCTACTTTTCTCATCTATAAAGTGAAGATAATGATAATATCTACCTTATAGAGTCATTGTAAGGACTCACTCAGCAAATCCTTTTGGACTGGTTCTCAAATTCTCTTTTTCTTTTCTTTTCTTTTTTCTTTTTATTTTTGGGCACTGGGGATTGAACTCAGGACCTTCCACTTGTGAGGGAGGCAGCGGTCCCACTGAGCTAAATCCCTGGCCCTGGTTCTCAAATTCTAGACAGTGTGTTGGGTGCTAGAAATACAGAGGTGAATTAAGACACACCCTGAACCCTCTCTTGTGGAGTTTAATGAGATAACTCACATCAAAGGCTTGCTTAGCACAAGCCAGCAGTGGGCATGCAAATATTTAGGTGGCATATTTGAGAAATAACAAGGATTGAATACTTTCCAATACCTGAACCTAAAGAAGTAAGAGATTCCTGAAATTCCTTTTAACTAGCCATTATCAGTTCCTTGTGGTCTTGTTTTTATTTTGGTTTGATTTGGTTTGGTTTTGCAGTACTGGATATTGAATTCAGTACTGAGCTAGATTCCCACCCCTTTTTCTCTTTCTTTCTTTCTGGGGGGTACCAGGTATCAAACTTAGGACCTTGCACTTGCAAGACAGGCATAGCGTCACTGAGCTAAATCTCCAGCCCTTTTTTCCCCCATTAAGTTTATTGGTACATTTAAAGCAAACAATACAGTTATATTTATCATTGGGATCTTGAACCATTACATGATATGCCTCAGCCCTTTTATTTTTCATTTCACAGAGGGTCTCACTAAGTTGGCCAGACTGGACTTGAACTTGTGATCTTCCTTGTCTCAACCTCCCAGAGTGCTGGTATTATAGAGGTGCACTCTTGTCTCTGACTTGTTTTGTATGATTAGAAAAACAGGTGCATGCTTATAATTCCAGCACTCAGCAGACTGAGGCTGGAGTATCACCGTGAGTTCGAGCCCTGCCTGAACTATGTAGTGAGATACTATCTCAAAAAAAAAAAAAAAATTTTTTTTCCTATCTATATCTTGTTAGATTTTACCACAGCTGAAATATTGCCATTGGAGCAGGGTCTAAACTTTTCTTCTTGGGTTGTTTTGTTTTGTTGTAGTTCTAGGGATCAGTTCTGTGATCTCACACACATTCTACTACTAAGTTACATCCTAAGCCCCAGTCTTTTTTTATTTTGTTTTGTTGTTTGAGACAGGATCTCACTATGTTGCCCAGGCTGGCCTCAGACTCAGGGTGCTCCTCCTCCTTCAGCCTCCCAGTGCTGGGATTACAGACTTGCACCACCATGCTGGGCTCCAGAGTCGTTAAGTTCTGGCCTGGATCAACCTTTCTTTTTTAGTACCACACATTCTTCCTCCAGAGTATCCTGTACCCTGGCAAATTGGCAGCTCGGTACTCCTGACTATGCCTTGTGCCTTGCTGCCTTCACACTCTTAGTATTGTTCCTTCCTTCCGGAGTGTTCAGTGTGAACTTCAGTATAGAAATCAGTTAATGTCACATCTGAGTTGGAACTCTGGTAACTCAGTGACAGGAGTTTGCCTAGCATGTGCAAAACCCCGAGTTCCATCCCTAGGACTGCAAAACAAACACAACTCTGGATTCCTGTGTTGTGTGTGTATGCAGTTGGGGATTGGAAATGTGAAGATAGTGTACCAAGGGCCTGTAGTTGTCCAAAAAATGTGGGCAGAAGCATTGTTATTGGAGTTTTTGTTAGCTTTTATATTCCATGGGTGTATCTTCCTCATCTTATCCCATCTTGCTTTGTTTTCTACGTCTTCATGGGTCTGATTTCTCTTCCCTGTTAGAATTTGAGCTGGGCAGGATAGCACATGTCTGTAATCCAAGCACTCAAGAGGCTAAGGCAGGAAATTGCTGAGTTTGAGGCCAGCCTGGACTACATAGTTAGTTTAACACCAGCCTGAACTACATAGTGAGACCCTGTCTCAAAATTAAAAAAAAAAAAAAAAAAAAAAAGAATTTGAGCTCACTGAAGGCAAGCACCTTATATCTTTTAATTTATCCTTCCACTGCATTCTACTATCTTAATTTGTACCTAAAAATTGTTTTAATAAGACAGTTGATAAATATAAATTGAACTAGGAGTGTAGTTCAGTAGTAAAGTGCTTGCCTGGCATGCATAAGGTCTTAGGTTTGCTAGCTCTGAAAATCAGCTGGGGATTTAGCTCAGTGGTGCTGCCATCTGCCTCACAAGCATAAGGTCCTGAATTCGATCCCTGGTACCAAAAATAAATAAACAAACAAACCAACCACAGTTTGGTGTATTTAACCTGCTATGAAGTTATGCTGGTACTGTTTTGGTTGTTTCTAAAGGTTTGCAGGGGATTCTGATGATGTAAACCTAGAATTGTGACCTCAATTTGGGCATGACAGGAAACTGTGAGTAGGTAAGAAGTTTCTGCACCTAGTAGAAAATATAAGTAGGCTTAGGGTTAGTAGGGTTAGGTAGCAGCTGTCAGAACTTGTTCTTGCCGATAAGATCCTGAAGGCCCTCCATTCTGACTATTACCAGATAACCTGTTTCCTCCTCCACATTAGCCAGCAGGAGGTGCCCAGGGGACTGTGCCCAGTGGGATCCCACTCCCAGTAGAACAGTAGGAGAGTCAAGGGGCCTGGTTTTCCCGTGGACTGCCTGTTTGCCTGCCCATCTGCCTTCCTCCTCATTTCATTCTCATTCCTGAGGTCTACCTTTGGCTTGGAAATTGGAAACCTGTATCCATCTAATATTAATGGTAAATCATTACAAAGAACTGTTTGCTTTATAGCTATCATTACTTAGTGGAACTTAAAGTTGGTAAAACTGAATAGGGATAGCCATGATTGCAGATGCATTTGGATTAAATGTTGCTTCACTGAAGCTCTTCTTCCTTGCAGATTGATTTTGATGATGTAGCTGCAATAAATCCAGAACTCCTACAGCTTCCTCCCTTACACCCAAAGAACAGTCTGCCCCTGCAGGAAAATGTAACCGTCCAGGTAGGCACCTGTCACAGACTACAGCTAAAGCCCCAGAGAAATAATTTATTTACTCTTTGCTGATTTGTTCTCTGGTACTTCACAGCATGCGGGCCTGGGGTAGCCCCTTTAGAGTTTATAAAAGCCATATATTGTGGTTGTTTGTTTTGATTTTCAGAAACAGAGACGCAGATCAGTCAACTCCAAAATTCCTGCTCCAAAAGAAGGTAAATGGATTTCTAGGGAGCCTGGGCTCCAAGTTGTGGATTCTGTAAAATACACACATTGTCCCAGATTAGCAGGTGACTCCTGTGTAGGCTGAGTCCTGCCCTGGGTCCTAAGCATCTCAGTGAGGAACAATATAACTAACCTTTGAAGTACCTGATGCATTTGAGAGACTGGCTTACTTGCCTAAATAGCTTTCCTCTAGAAGCCAGAGCCTGGTTCTGAGGAGATTGGAAACCAGACCCTAGTAGTCTTGTTTCCTTCCCTCAAGCAAACAGTTTGCCTTGGAACAAGGCTGTGAGGAAAAAGAAGAACTCAGTTTGGGCTGTTTAGAAAGGCAGTCAGTGGTACTATGGAGTTGAGGGCTTGGGGCCAGGGAGAGTTAATAGCAGTATCCAGTGTCCTCAGAAATACTTTCTGCGGAGCAGAAGTAGCGTGAACCTACTTTGACTACTATACACTGCAACTATCAGGAACAGATATAGTCGCAGCTGCCCAGAAGATACAGCTCATTACTCAGGGTCAGCTATAGCTTGTAGGCCATTAACCTGCACAGCTGTCTGGTCCAGGGTTATTACTGTTCTCTATGTTGCAACTGTTATAGGAACCCAGAGAGTACTTGTCTGGAGCTTCTGGTTTCAGGGGGCCCAGGGTAGAAGATGGAGCTGGCACAAGCTTGAGCAGGGCCTGGGGTCTGGTCCTGGCCATATCCTCCCCACCCCGGAGATCTGGAGCTCAGGACCTTGTGCTTGTGAGGCAGGTGCAGCGCCACTAAGCTACATCCCTGGCCCTCCTGGCTGTCTCTTGCCTGTTGTACCATAAGGGCCTGCAGGAGAGATGAGAATAGCAGTATCCCATTCCACATGCATGGCTGCAAAGATTGTTGGTGCAACTCCTTTTCTTCAGTGCCTCATACATATTAATAAGCACCTGCTCTACCACTGAGCTACATTCCTAGCCCTGCAGATGCCTGTGTTTTGTTTTTGCATTGAAACCAGACCTTGAACATGTTTAGACAAGTGTTATACCACCAGGCGACATCCTTCGCCCTTTTTCCTATATATATTTTGGGGTTTGTTTGGTTTTTTTTTTGGTACTGGGGATCAAACTCAGGCCCTTGCCGCTTGCGGAGCAGGCGCCAGAACCACTGATCTAAATCCCCACCCCTGTTTTGTTTTATTTTTGAGACTGACTGAGCCTCCTTGTATAGTTAAGCCTGGCCTCGAACTCTTGAACTCCCTATGTTGCCTCACTATGTAGCCCAGACTGGCCTCAAATGTTCCTCCTGCTTCAGCCTCCTCCCAAGTGCTGAGATTACAGGTGTGCATTACCACTTCTGGCTATAATTTAGTTCCCAATGAGTGTGCATTGCTTTCATACCATCAAGTTGAAAATTCCTAAGTTAAACATTTTAAGTCAAAGTAGTACTGTGGCAGGTATGGTTGCTGTTAAGGTCAGTCATACTTGTTCTCCAGGACTTGGAATAGGTCTGTCTCCACAGAAATGATTTCACATATGCTGTAGGTCCCTCCCATTTACTTAAGACAGCGGTCTTTTAAAATTTTTTTAATTTTATTTTATCCCATCCCCCCTTCAATCCCCTACCCTTCCCTATGTACAAAAGCTTTGTTTCCATTTTTTCCTTCTAGTTTCACCTTTTTTCTTGTCCTTTCCTTCCTTTCTCCCTCCCTCTTCCCTTGTTCTCTTTCCCATTTGAACACTTTCTTCCCATTGCCCAACGTCCATTATATATCTCAGTCCTTATTTCCACATTCAGTTCCTCACACCAGAGAAACAATGAGGTATTTAAACATGTGTCCAGTTTATTTCACTTTAGAGAATGGTCTCAAGGCCCATCCATTTAGTTATAAATATCTGAAGCTCATCCTTCTTTATGGAAGGTCAGTACTGCACTGTATTAAAAACGACATCTTTACTCATCAGTTGATAGGCATTTGAGCTTTTTCTAAGATTTATCTATTATACACTGGGGTTATAAACGTGGGTGTGCGTATATCACTGTGCTACGATGCTTTTAATTCTTTTGGGAAGGTCCCAAGAAGAGGTATACCTGGGTCAAATGGAACCTCTAGTTTGAGTTTTTTTGGAGAACTCTCCACACTGATTTCCACAGTGGTTGTACCAGTCTGTACTCCAACCAGCAGTGGAGAAGGGTTCCTTTTTCCCCACATCTCCTCCAGCATTTGTTATCAGTTATTGGTCTCATTTTCATTTGGACCAGTGATGTTGAACATTTTTTCATATATTTATTTGCTGCTTCTAATTATTTGAGAAGTAAGGTAAGCACTCTGTGGGAGATGTCTTTGCCCTTGGAACTCCTGGTTTTATGGAATGTGCACAGATAATTTCCAGGAACACTGATCTTTGGCCTTAGTTCATTCCCTGGGGTAGAAGAAATGGGAAGTTGTTGGGCTTCTCTCTAGTGGTGGCAGGGCCCCAGCTACCTTGTACAGAACCTTGCAGATTTGTCCTGTCTGTCCTCCTCCTGCCCCATGCAGCTCTGACTGGCTGCTGCCCTTGGTTCTCCAGGTCTCCGAAGCCGATCTACTCGCATGTTCACTGTCCCAGAGACTCGAATCACCGCTCAGGAGAACGATATGGAGGTAGAGCCACCTGTGCCCACCAACTCTCGCAAGCAGTTTCCTGTTACCAGTGAGTAATGAATGTTCTTTTCCTGTTGGAGGCTCTGGAGTGGGCTTCCCATTCCTGGCCTGCTACCTATACAGTGGACCCTTGACTTAGGAACTCAATTTTTTCACCTGGGCTCGTTGTGTAAGACAAGACTATTTTTCTCATGAGAAATAATAGAAATACTCATCCCGAACCTCCCAAAGCATGTCCTTTAACTTTTTCATAATAAAAAAAGGTTGTATAATGTGAGTGATTTACCAGAAACACCGATAATTTTCCTAGTGTATTCGCCAAAAAGTTTAAAAATGTGCCTAGTTTACCAGAAACAATAATTTCATATTGTGCTCACCATTCAAGTTGACATCTTTGGCGTGCAGGAAGGGAAGATGAAATGGAAGGTGGTTATTGTTTGGAAGGAGAGTTGCCTTCCATAAGAACATCAGGAATCTGGCTCTCTGGTGTCCTTTATCTCCTTGGGAGAGTCTGTAGCCCACTAAGACCTTCTGGCTCACTAGGTCTCAACCTTTTCATAATTACAAACTGGTCTAAGGTTGTCTTTCTGTTTTTTCTTTAACACTGTTCTGTAGTATGACATGATATTGTCGTTAAGCAAGTACAATGACTGGCTTTTTCTCTGCCTGGGTTGGTCTTCTCTACAAATGTCTATAGCTCTGTCCATTTTTCAGGATTTCTTTTATTTCAGAAGAACTTTGCTGCACTGATTGCTGATATTCCCTTCCTCTTCAGAAAGCTCCTCAGCTGCCATTCTTTGTTGCTCAGCCAGAAGATACTGAAGTTCCCCTGTAGACAATTCCTCTGAGTTCCTCCACCAGTTCCTCAACATCACCACTGTCTACCCATAAGCCTATGGACTCTGCTATAGTGACAGTGTCATAACCCCTGGATCAATTGAAGGCTCAGGCTCCTTTCCACAGCCTGCAAAGTCTCTCTCCTTTATAATTTTAGGCCAAACTTTCTTCCAGGCAGATTTCAGTGACCTTAGAGAGACATTAACTGGCCCAGGATTTCTCAATTTCCACCCAGGGAAGGATGTTGTAATGTTCCTTCTAGAAGTCTTTAAGGGTTAAGTATCTGAGACCATCTGGAAGCACTTCAGGAACGGTTCCTTGGTGTATACATAGCTTCTTAAAGTCAGCTATACCCTGCTAGTCCATAGGCTGCAGTAGAGGACTTGTATTAAGTGGGAGGAACTCAACCTAGAGCCATAGGAATTACTCAGCCAATTCTTCTTCCAAATGCCAAGGATTAGCTGGAACATTGTCCATGGTGAGGAGAGCCTTGAATGGTAAACCTTTGTCCTCTAGATATTTCTTTAACAGTAGGAAAGCCTCCTTGATGCTACTCAAGAGAAGTACTCATTACTGAGGCTTTTGTGCTAGATCTCCGTATGACTCCCAGCCTATTCTTTATGACTTTGTTTTTTGAGCACTGTAGGGGTCTCAGAGTGATTAACCAAAAGAGGCTTTCTCTTAAGATTACCACCCTTGTTGGCACATAGCAATAAGGTTAGCCTATTCTTCATAGGCTTATGGCCTGGCATTTTCTTCTCTTCCTGGGTAATGTATGTCCTCCTGGGCATTTTCTTCCAGAAAAGGCCATTTTCATCACAGTTGAAAACTTGATGAAAGCAAAAGCCATTTCTCTGTGTCATCATTTTGAAGTGTTGTATGTAATTTTCAGCAGCCCTTTTATCAGCACTGGCCACTCTGCCATGCCTAGTTATGATCTGAACCCCAGTTCTTGCTTTAAAATTGTGAAATGAGCCGGATGTGGTAGTGCACACCTGTAATCCCAGCACTGGGAAAGCTACAGCAGGAGAGTCGCCATAAGTTCGAGGCTAACCTGAGCTACATTCTGAGACTTTTATCTTAAAAAACAAACAGAAAAATTTAAAAATAAATAAAATTGTGAAACCACCCCTTACTGGCATGAAATGTTTCACCATTATCACTCATTGATAGATTATTCTTTACAAGATCTATATTTATAGCCCTAGCTTTTTCACAAATTATAGACTCAGATAGGCTAACCTTCCATCTGCCTTTTATTTATCACACTAATAATAACCTTTCTACCTTGTCTAACACTGTTGATTGTAACTTACTAATGTGAGTAACATTTAGCAACACTGGCTTCCTTATACAAATCTTTTCTCTGTAAGATTGTAGCGATGGTGAATTTCGACATGTTGTACATATTAATGAGATCAGTCACATGAATGCCACTCTCATACTTCTTCACAACATCCTTCTTTTTTAACTGCGATTGTTTTGCCTTCCCTCCTTTCCTTAGCTTCTTTTCTAACTTTTTAGGGGCCATTTTGATAGCAGTAATTATAGCGATTATATAAAGTACTGACCGAAATCATGTCCACAAACTTGCAAATCTGGGCTCAGACTGATGCTTACATACACTTACATATGATTTTCTGGCATCGAGAGTCTTTGTTTACAGCCTTTTAGGTCATAACTCAAAAGAAAACTAAAATAAACTCAAAATAAAACTAAAATTTCAGTCATAACCCAGGTTGTTCCTATGTGAGGTTGATCATCATAACTCGAGAGCCCATTGTACTGAAATATCCTAGGATACCTCTACTCCCTCTGTCCAATACTGTGCCGACTGTCCCACCAACAACTGTATCTTTTTTTTTTTTTTTTTAA